ATATTAAAATTAATATTTATTTATTTATATTTTTTAATTTAAAATGATTAAAAAAGAGTTTTAAATCATTTTAAAGAAACTGTTGAGGAGGTACACGTGGCGTTTAGGAATTCGCTGGATCAAAAACTCGGCGGCTTTAATGGAGCCGATGATTATGGCGGCGGTTATACACGCGTCAGCCGTCGGCTGCCCTACGCTGTTTCATTAAACCACGTAGGAATTGATTGCAGCCGTCAATTCCACACGGAATTCATCCAACGGTGGATATCAAACTCAGTCGTTTGATCTCAACCAAGGGAAATCAAACGGCGGAGAATCGATCCCGCTGTTCTGAGCTGACAGTTACCATCAAGCCGGACGGGGTTCGATCGATCGAATGGATTACACTGCTTCAAGAACGACGGAATAGCTCTGCACTACGAATGACGCCCTAGGAATGATTTTTCAATTCGTTCGTTCAATATAATGGATGAAATTTCTTGAAATTTTAAATTTACATTAACATAATGAACAGAAATTTTGGGAAAGTTTTTAATAAATTTAAAAGCACTTGTAAGAAAGCTATTTAAACAAGAATGTGGTGTCATAGAACTAGGGTTTTAAGAGATTTTACTGAGGAATTATTGAGGAAATGATATCTCCGACACTTTACTCTGTCCACGTATTAGTTTCCAGTTGATGTCTCGTCCAAAAAATCTGCGATTTGAATGAATGGAAGCTTGGATGGACTTGAGCTTGGGTTCGCCGGAATCCACTTTCCGGCGGCGTTTGACGGCCGGATGTTGGTCGGGATGTGAAGGGTGACAGCTTGAGCGGTTGAATGAGCAGAGATCTCTGCAGGATTGGCTTAGAATAGAGAGAGAGTCAAGAGATTCGAATGAGACTCGTTTTTAGTCTTTTGCCCTATTCAATCCACTCCAGATTGAATGGAGGGCTGCGATTCACTTGGGAGAGCTTCCCTTGATGATGACATCTGTCCATTGGGTAGTTAGGAGCAGTGGGTACAAAGGACATAAGGACATCCCATGTGTAAAGTGGGTTTTGTCCTCTAGTCCATGTGGGTTTGATTAAAAGCCATTGGATCTTGATCTAATGGTTGGGATAGGCCCTAAGAAGCTTCTAGAGTCTGTTAAGACAGCATGGACGGGTTTAGCTTAAGGAGGATTAAGATTAAGGGGTCATTTGACCAAGTTTGACCCCTCCAAATGATTGATTTGACTGTTTGACTGGTTCTTTTGCCACATGGAAGCTGAGGTGGCATGGGAGTGGGGCTTTAGAGCTGCTGGAATGATTTGGTAAGGAATGGACTAGCTTGGGTCAAGCCATTTGGGTATTTAAGCCCATTTAAAGAGGTTTGTTGACCATGTTGACTAGTCAACTGGTCAAAAACTTGTGAGGTGGAATGGGAGTGGTCTCAAATGCTATTGAGATGATTCGAAATAAGTGGAAGACCATATAGTTGGGGTTCGAATAGAAATATGAGAGCTTGAAGTGGGTTGACCAAGTCTAAATGTGTTGACATGGTCAAAGTGAACATGACTTGGCTCATGGTGCGTTTGGCAAGGTTCAAGGCATTGGTAGGGATGATTTGAAAGCTTGATAGAGATTTGACCAAGTGCACAGGGTAATTTTGATCTAAAAGATAGATTCAAGGGGTTTAAAGGTGTTAGGTTTGATATCAGTAAGAACTACATAGTAAAAATGAATTTATAGTCACCAAGGCATCCTAGATAACCTAATGATTTCACATAGCATGTCATAAAAAGGTCATGCGATTGATTATACTGATAATTTTTTATAACCAAATGAGATTAAAAAAAAGAATATTTAATCATATAAGAGTATTTTTGGCACGTAGAAAATATTGTTATTAATATAAACATTCAGCATAATCTAGGGTTAACCCTAACTTTATATGCTTGGAGGCTACTATCTATATGTTAGGGAGATTCAAAAGAATTGCATAAGCTCATCTACCGGGAAAAAAAAAAAACTTTGCAATTTTTTATAGATGTGGATGTCTCACAATTTAATATTCATTCATTTAATCATAAAATCTTCATTGTCATATATTTCCTGATAAAAAATACTTGTAAAATTAAATCATATCTAGCTCTTGGTCAAACGGACACTCTTTAGTAACTGATTGGGTGGTCAATGCATATCCAATTAGGTTGGAAGGAGATCATGATTTATTAATGGATTTGATCATCCTTAACTTTGACGTCTTTTTTAGTATGGATCAACTCTCCACTTATTATGTTACCCTTTATTGTTTTATGATCATTTAGAAAAAAATACAATTCTTTATTTATAAGCATATTCTTTAAATTATAAAAACTTGCAAATACACTCAATGACTCAAGGTATTCAATCAACCCCAAATTTTCTAAGGCTATTTTGGATATTCTTATGAAAATAATAATTAAAATAATATATAATAACCCCAATTAATTTCAAAAATATTTAGATTTTCTTAAAACCAAAATTTTGAAAATTGAGCCAAGCATTAAACCTAAAAAAGAAGAGGTTCAAGATTCAAAGATTGAACCTAATAATATAATAATTGTTAAACCTATTTGAGCATGACTTAAATAATTTAAGAAAAATGCAATGTGTAGTTTAAGAGAAATATATTATTAAATACAAATTATATACAAAATAATTATTTTTTCTAAAATACTTAAATTAAGCAACTTTGGATCAAAGTTACTAGCATTTTCTATTGAAACCATGATGATACTTGGAATATTTTATTTCATTCATTAAATTGATTCTCTAAAATAAAATAAAATAAGAGAAAAAGTTAGCAACAAATATAAAAGCTATGAAAGAAAATATAAGCTGAAGTAAAATAAATACTTAATATCCAACTACACACATTGATCTAACATGCCAATGAACAGCAAAATGGGATTTTTTTTGCTTTAAAGATATAAAATTCATACAAACAATCATATGAAAAATTCAAATAATTATGAAATATTGCATTTTATATATTTTAACAACCCAAAATTTATCATATTTAATTGGGCTAGTATATTTTTAAAAATATAAAAAAAAAATTAATTTCTAACTATACAATTATAACCTCAAAAATTCTAAAATAGTTTAAGGTGTATAAAGACATTCTAAACATTCCATAATTTCCCTAAAATTATTTGATTAATCCATGCGGTGCATGGATTTTTGAACAGTTAGAATATGCATTGAAAAATCCCTGTATGTACAATCAGTGATGACCATGACGTACAGATGCTATTATTGACCTCAGTGGCTACATTATAGCAAAAAATCCAAAGAATGTCTTAAGAAATGGAAATATTTGAATCTTAGTATGCGGGGAGAAATTATTGAGTTATCTGGAAGACAATTAATATGCGTCACATCACTCAATATATAGCCATAATAACAATACACAATAAATTAGTGACGTGAGAGTCATCTTAATTGATCTCAAGACTTCATCCGACGACCCCACATAATAATTTCGTGAATACAAGATGCCAAACTTACACCTGAGTAGGGGTGTCAATTTTGGATCACGGGTCAAGTTCGGGTCAAATTTAGAATTGACCCAGCACTATTCCAGTCAACCCAAACCCGAACCCGTTTTTGCAAACAAGCCAATTTTTCAGACCTGAACCCGACCCGCATCGGGTCAACCTGGCAAGACTCGAATAACTCGATGCCGATAAAAAATTGCTAGTTACGACTCAAAAATGGGTCAATCTCCAATTTTCAGGTAAAAACAGGTCAATATCAACTTTCCAAGTCAAAACAGGTAAATTTCATGTTTCTGGGTCAACCCGAACCCAACCTAATTTTTAAAACGGGCCAATTTGTTGGACCCAAACCCGACCCATTTCGAATTCGGGTTGGCCCTAACTTGAAATTTTCAAATCATATTCATGTCAAATATCAACACCCCTACACCTGAGCAAAGAAGTACGTGCTTCCAAATGTAACATCAGCCTAAGTTGCGTACAAGTCAAACTGACTTCTTATAAGAAAAATACAGCATTACTGCAACTTCAACACACTTATCAAGGATAATAATTGAATTTGCATCAATTCAAGTGAAAACATTATGCCCTACTTTTGTCATTTACAAATCAATACATAAAGTACTGGAATAGAGTGTCAAACTCAGCAGCCAGCATCCGCATAAGCACAGTTGCAATCAAGTTTCCTTCATCTCCATTTTAACACAGTCGTCTTCTCTGAATGAAATCCATTAAAATTCAAATCAGTAGAAATTTTTTTGGTCACCTAATAAGCTTCAATATTCAAGCGATCTGGAAAGTGTGATAATTTCTCTCATGAAGTTTAAGAGTCAAAAATAGATGTTAAAACTTTTTTTATTAGGAAAATGACTAGTTTCCAGTCATAATAAAGATTTTATTTGGGAAGACTTTCTTAATGCTTCTTAAATCAGCTTTTTAGTATAAAAATTTTAATTTTTAAACTAAAAAGCTATTTTAAAAAATAATAAAAATCCGTCCCAAACAAAACCTAAACAAACTTTTATTTTGAGAAATGCTACACTCCCCAAGAGAAATGACACTCTAAATATTAGTCTTTTATTTCTGGGTAACTTACCCATTGCTTATTCTGTAAAGCTTCCAATAGTTCTGCAATCTGCATTTGCTTTGCAATTGTAGCATGTAGTACCTGAAAAAAAAAATTACAAGTCCATAACTCATATACAGAAATAAAAATATGTGGGGATGTGCATACATGTACTTAGGGATGGAGTAATCAAATGTGGGAAAGATGGCAATAACAAGAAAGAGACGGACTCTTCAAAGAATAGCTCTTTTTTACCCTTAACTGAGAATAAGTTACTTGGCTAACCTTTTTTTACAGTAATTCATTTACTAAATCTGCAATGCAAAAACTTGATAAAAACAATCATGGCTCAAGAAGCAATCTAGAGAGAAAGATGCTAGATGAAAAGACGATTTTTTACATTAAAATTGAAACAAATGTGCAAATCTGCCATTTTGTTTTATTTCATCATTTAAATAGTTGTGCACAAATTGCACCAAAATAAAATTGGGTGTACGAATAAATAGATCGCCAAGCAAAATAACCTCAAAACACCAAAAATCTACTTGCATAGATGTTAAATATATGTGGACTCTTATTGATGAAGATTTTCACAATTATATATATATGGTACTGTGAAGATCTTGTAATAATTGAGAAGGGACAAAGGGATAAAGAATAGAGGGAGAGAGTCGAAGGCTTCTTAAAAAGACAGAAAGAGATAATTGATATGAAAGATCCAAAAAAAACAAAATCATTAAGCAAATCATTGGCTTGAAGAAACAATTGACATGAAAAAATCGGGACATGGAAAAAGAATACTTGGTACGAGATTTGACTATGAAAGAGTTATATATATTTTATATCTATCTCAATCTCAATACAATGAAAATATTTTGGATAGGTTCAATATGCTGAAAATAAATCTGTTGAGCATGCTTTGGCCTTGGCTTATCACTTCAAGGTATCAAAAGTATAGTCAACAGGGATAAATAAAGAGATAATTAATACATGTTTGAATTCCTCTTAGTGATTTGTTCTGTAATATAAGCAATGGTTTGTATAATATTTGGTATTGCTTATGCAGTGGAAGTTGTCAACTAGTACATGCCAAATCCAAAAGATGAATATTAGGAGGCCATGTGAAATGTAGAATAAATGACTCACTGAAATTTAGAAAAGCATAAATAAAATTACAAAGCTATAGTGATTTGAATATGAGAGGATACCCAGATGCACAAAATAATATGGGATAAATCTACACCATGATTTAAACCATAATCATCCAAATGTGATCGACTAAAAGAGGAGGATTCATAGATGAGTAGCAAATCACAAGAAATTTATATTTAGGAGTTTGAAGTATCATCTCAATGAGCCAACGGTGTATGTTTTTTAGGAACTTTTGAAGTTATAATTTATAGTATTAATTTAATTGTTTTATTTATTATCTATTTTAACTTATTTTTCATGCTTGTTCTAACAGATTCAAGACTATCTTTTTGTTTATTGAGCTAGTGTACTCAAGTTTTGAAAAGGATTGGTAGGTGCCCTTTTATTATGTATCATGATTGTGGCTTTATTGTTAGTGGATCAGATCTTCTCATCTCTTCAGATATTGACTTGTTTAAATCAAACCAAATAAAATTTAATACTTTTTTATAGTGCTTGATTTCTTTAAATTTATTTGATGGTACATAATATTTGCTCTAAGTTGATTTTTTCATGGTGTAAAGTAAGACAACTTTCTTAACATTCCTTATATTAGGCAAAAATTTCTTCCTAAGTCCAATGCGCGAGTCCATTTCGATTGCAAACTTAAAGCAGAGAACACCTAGTATGATTTGACTCGGTAGTATATTAATTATATTGAGTATATAACTCATTAAGTACAACGTATGGAGTAACACAGTGAAAGCTTACTTTTTTGGTCTTCTCAAGTTCATGTTCAACAAGTTTTATTCTCTGCCAAGATTGCTGAAGAATTAGCTCTTTCTCCATAGGCATCTGTGCTGGCATGCTGCTAATCTCACTATAAAGTATCTCAAGTCTTTGAAGCTTTAGACACAGATTTGTAGTATCTTCCTTGATAACTTCCACTGATGGATGGGGACTGGAAGCAGGACTATACATGCATGGAGGATGAATGCTTTCCAAGTCTTTTTTGTGTGTATAACTTAATATTGGAAAGAAGCATAATATTTTTAGGAAAATAGACAACAATACTGTTGAAAGAGACCTCAAATACAATCTTACAAAACTATCCTTTGCAACATTCTTCCTGCAATCAGTCAAATTACCTGTTGCACATGAAAACTCTGACATTCAAAATGAAGATATATGTCATTTAAAATCAGAAAACGTAAATACTATTGCGGATGCAATTCTCTACCAATAAAATCACTTAAAAAGGAAAGCCTAAGATTGTCCAATCTTGTTATAAGGGCATGAAACACAATACTATGCCCTCTAGATTCAAAGTTAAGTTTACCAACTTTTCCAACAAACTCTAACGAGTCATCGAGTAATATGTGGAAGATAAGGAGAAAAATATAGAAATTAAATAAAGTGGTCAAGCATATCTGGCGCCCATATATTGAATTTTTAAACAACATTTTAATAGGAATTTAGCAGGAATGTATAATACGTCTCCTTATGAGCAGTTGCTGCTTGAAAAAAAAAAGATAAATATTAATGTGAATAGACGAAAGTTAAAATAGCTATGACAAGACTACTATAGGAATGTATTTAAATTGAAGCACTAAAGCTATCTGCAGGTTTTACAATTTGACCTCAACTAGCTCAACTCATAGGCAGCAACTTAAGGGTTACATACACCTATCCAGGGAAAAGCAAGTACTTCCTTCTATAATGTCCTTGCAAATGTTTGATTTAAAAAAAAAGGAAAATTAACTAAATTTTAATAGGAACCGGCAACAATCTTTTCAACTGAATTGACTAGGGGGGTGTTTGGCTGCAAGTAGGATTTTGTAAACCCTGTAACTTAAGATGGAGTTCACTACTTTGTGATATTATCTAGGGATTCTAAGATACCAGCACAAAGAATGGTAAAGGAAATTGATATTGAAATATCTTTAAATGGTTCAATTTATATAATAAAACTTATATAGTACAATTTACAATGTTGTCATATGACAAATGTATTATACAGAAATGATATATATATATATATAAGACATTGTTCTCTTCTATAAGGAATATTTCAAAACTTTTTATACTATCATCTTGGAATAAAATGATTAGCCAAGTGATTTTATGCTAATTCAGTTATTATGACAATCATATGTATTATTTTTTGAAATTTTTTCTATTACTGTAAATTAAAGATATGATTTATCCACTGAATTATGTTGATAATTCATCATTATATTTAGTTAATATTTTCACAAAAAAGTTAAAGAATCTGATAAGTGGAAAAACAGTATGTATCGTAGATGTGGCACTATAAGAGAACTATATTTATATTAGAATTGTTATATATTTGACTTAGAATGAATTTGCGATATAGTAACTCTTTTGATATATTAGAAATTATTAATAAGAGAAAAGATTGTGAACAAATATTTTAATACTGGTTAATATTATTAAATAAATTTTAAAATTTCATGGTGCACCTGATTCTTCCGTTTCTATACAGACCTCTTCTCTGGACCTTATATAAATCTCTAAATCTGATGACTTAGAAAGAATGATCAATAAAAGTTGTTTTGTATTCAAGAGAAAGATTCATGAATAAATACTAGTAAGCAAGACATATAAGTCTAAACATAAGAAAATATTTTTTTAACGATAATTCAGTAAGAAAGCAAAAAACAACAGCTAATATAAAGAAACAAATATCCAAAACTCAATGCAAGTCTAAAATAAATAAAAAAACTAAATAAGCAACAAAAATCCAAAACTCAATAGAAGCCTATAATAAATTGCCACAACATAGACCCAAATACCAATTTATGAAATAATTGATGCTGAAAATCTGCATCTTTAATGATGGTCCACCAAACAATTCGATAGAATATATTAAAAGAAATGTTTATCGTGAAGGAGCTTGACATTCAAACTCATCATCTAACTCCTATTTATTAAAATGTAAGGGCTAAGTCATGGGGCATGCAATATTAAAGATTAAAGAGAGATAATTTATAATGTTATAGCAATATAATAAATATTTGTTGACCTATGTGTAAAGCACAAAAGAAACAAAAAAAAAAGATCAAATCAGATCAAACCTCGTATCCACGAAATCCCGCTGTTCGGCGCCGTTCAATCTCATCTCCGTAAATCCTGCGTAAATCCCGCGAGCTCGCCTTGATCCCGCTCATTCCTCTGCCTTTAAAACACGAACGAAGGGTTCTTCTCCCGTTCACTCCCGAAATCCACTGCTCTCACCCGACCACAGGTCACGACTCCTCTGTTCCAACTACCGACCTCCAGTGCCTGTAGCCCTTGCCGATCGACCCTCTGAAGCCGCAACCATCTCCTCCCACAGACACGAGCTACCGTCGCTACCCCTCGAACCCTCTCCAATCTCCAGATCCGACGCCAACACGACCTCCCGACTCCACATCCGACCAAACTCCACTGCTTGGTCTTCAATCTTTCAGCACAGAGAGAGAGAGAGAGAGAGAGAGAGAGAGAGAGAGAGGAGTTTTCTTCAAACTCACCGAACTCGAAGCCGCCGAACCCGCTGTGCCACCGACCTCCCCTGTCTGATCCTCTCTGAAGGAAGACTCAACCCGTGCCCTATCTCTACCTCAATTAAATAAAACCCTACTCACTCCAACTCAGTCAACTCAGTCCACTCAACTCAACCTAACCAATCCCAACTCAACTCATCTCCTCAACTCACCTAACTTGCTCACTTAACTCAGTCCACTCAACTTAACCAACTCAGCTCACTCACTCCACTCATTCCTTACCGATAAAAACCTTAGGTATTTTGTTATTTTATTTTATTTTATTTTGTTTCTAATAATAATAATATTAAAGTTATATTATTATTTATAATAATAATAATATTAATAATAATAATAATTGTAATTATTATTATTATTAATTATTATTATTATTATTATTAAGGTTCTTTTCTCGATGCTTGCAACGAGCCGGCAAACCCCCGAGGCGCTCACGTAGCGTTAGGGTGGGAAACCGGTGCGATGCTCGCGACGATTTAAGAATCCCTCTTCAAAGCTTGCAAAGAGCCGGCAAACCCCCGATGCGCTCAAGTAGCGTTTATGGTGGGAAACCGGTGCGACACTTGCGGCGAAGGGGATAAAAAAAGTGTGTGTTTTTATTTTCTTTTTTATATAAGTACCTCCAAACGCCCACGTGGTGCAGAGGGGGGAAATCTGTGTTTATTTCTAACCTGTTTTCTTCTTATTAATAAAAACAAACACCCTTAAACGCTCACGTAGCGGGCGGGGATAAAAAAATACAAATGCGACCGCAGTGTCATTTTTTACACCTACCTGAAGCGCTCACGTAGCGTCGAAGGGAATGTTGCCTCTTGGTTTTTCCCCTAAACGGGGGAGACGCCGGGAGGCTGCCGAAATTTGGATTGAAAATCCAAGGACTTTAACTCACTAAATGAGCTTGCACTTGGACTTATTTGAACGAAATGAGCTTAAAATTCAAATGAATTTGGAAAATATAAAAGTATTTGATTGAACTCAAAAGAACAAATGCAAAGAACTAGTACTTGAGATTGTAGTTTGGGACAACTACAAGGATCATTTGAGCACATTTGAACTACAGGGGCCTCGCATAAGACTTGGACTAGAACCTATTTATGAAATGAACTTGGTATAAGAAGTTCTAACATGAGAAATTGACTCAAGCTTTCTTTGAACTCAAATTGAACAATAATAAGCTTGTGGACTTCAGCATGATAACAAGAAGCTCGCACTGGTTTCAAACTGAAACAAAATGTTAGATAATAAATAACTTGTGGACATAAGAATTTGAGCTTGCCACTTGAACTTAAAATAAAGACTTGATTTGGATGACAAGTCTGAGACTCAAGCTTGGACAAGAATTTGAACTAAGTTCACTTGAAGTTAAACTTGAACTTGATATGATTGGACTCAAGTTCAAATGAACAGGATCATGTTTGAACATTGAACATGAATACAAGCAAGAGACTTGAACCTCATGCAATGAATGCAAAATACTTGTCAAACTACAAATGAATTCAAAAGGTTTAGATAGTGAATGCTACCATATCATTTCAATTGACATCAAATATTTATGGATGAATGTAGAAACTCCTTGTGGGCAACAAGAGTCAGCATGCAAACAAACAAATAACTCGTGCCAAGATTCCCAATATTTAAGATGTATAGTAATCTATACATGAATGAAACATAAAGGGAGGTCACAAATGAATGATGCAGTTACTTATGCATGTTGAAAGTCAACATACAACGAGAAGTATGCAGTGAATGTCGGATCCTCCCTACGACCAACTATATGCATACATACAACTGAATACACCAGTCTTCTGCAAGCAAAGGCGAATAATACAAAATGAATGCAAGTGTCTTCGAGCAGCGGAAGAAGTTCTACCATACAAGAAGGGTACAAGGAGCCTACGACAAGCACTTCGATATTTATACAAGCTTGTAATAAGGAAACAACAAATACATTGATCCTCTACCAACAAGAGCAAAGACTACAACAAATGCAAGCTCCTACGAGTCATTCTGGGAAATTTGTTGTACACATAGTACATTATCTATAAGCAAATGTCAAAGAACTACAATGAATGCAAGCATCAACAAACAAAAGCAAGAGACTAGTTAGTGCACTACGATCCACCTGCAGAAAGCAACAAGTAGTGTACGACAGTCTACCTGTACAAAGCAGCAAACAATTCAATTCAAAAGCTGCTACGCCATGCCATCGGATCTGCAACACTTATGCAAGCAGACAGAAGGCGTCCACAAATTATAATGCCACGCCACCGAATCTGCAACACTCGTATTAGCGGACAGAAGGCGTGTACAAGCTCTCAAATACAACGTTGTGTATTTAAAAGGATAATTATATGCACAACTACAAATACTTCAATACCCCTTGCACATGCACTATAAGTTGTATACACATAGGTACACTAAAGGGATAAGTACAATCTTAACCCGTATGGGCCCCAGCGAGCGTGTTATTAGTACACACGTGACGCCTAGGGATGTTGCACGGGTTGACAAGTGAATTCAAATTCTAACCCGATCCTTCTATACGAATCAATAGAAGTCGACAAGGTTCGAACCTTCAAACAAATACTCGGTTGTGGGGACTGGTGTATTTGTTTTAATACTTTCACATCAGGCCTTCAAAGCCTTTAATCAAGAAAATTCACTCACAAAGGCATAAAGCCTATGAAACTCGATCCTCTGTTGATAGCTCAATAGAGCTGACAAGGTTCAATATAAAAATAGAAATGATCCTGAACACCCCGATGATAGCCGTGTTGAATGCTAATCTCAACCGGAGGGGTTAATTTCAGTCCATTCTCAAATGCCTCCCAAAAGTCCATTCCAAACATCCAAAAATCCAAAAAATTCCAAAATTCCTAAAAAAAAAAATATTAAAATTGAAATAAATCCATCAAAATACTTAAAGTAAACTTCATCCACCCTCCGCAACAGTTTGCCGAGGTGGACAAATTAAAATTCACTTCAGCTCACAAAAGAGCTAAATGTCTAGTCAAAAATATCACTAGGATCCATTCTCAAATAATCTCCTACCAGTAAGGACGTGGTACGTGTCCTCTAACCGGCGATTTGCTCCAAATGGCACGGCGGGATAAACAGTTATGACCCGGGGCCCTCTGAACCGAGTGGTTTTGCCGCCAAATGGCACCACGAAATACCGGTTATGACCAGCGCCGATACGCTCCTTAGTGGCATCAAATCCTTGAGATATGAATCAATAGGATATAATCGATAGGGCACAAAGCCCTCTGTTAGCTAAGGTGGATTCAAATTTGTCCCCTTAGACAAACATTTAACCCAGGTCTACAAGGCCCCCTTGGACGAAGCAACCCATGGCTGCCGACAAGGATCCTTCTGTCAGGTTGGGTCGACTACCTCCTCTGACTAAGTAGACCAGGGACCACGATGGCCCGGGACGACGAAACCATGGGATCTTGATCGGGTCTATCATCCATTCCCCCACCATCCGCTTTAAGTGCACGATGGTGAAATTTCTATTTTTAAATATCAAATTTCCAAACATCCAAACTTTCCAAATTCTCAAATTCTCCAACTATTTCCAATTTTATGCTGCTACTATATGCCGGATAACACGTATATTTCTATGTATCTGATTGACGACTAGCCTTAATCGAAAGTTCTCTCTGGTGATCGGGAGGGGCAATTAACTATAGGGGCTTGCGCCTATGGGAAACCAGAACTCGGATCATAAAGTCCTCGCAAAATGAGGGAGAAATCTCTGGGTAGTTTCTTATCTACAAACACATCTGCCTTCCAAAATTTATCCTGGAACTTATTCAGTTAAAACTCCCTCTCCGAATAAAAAAAAAAAAAGAAATCGCGCGGCGGGGAGGCCGGGGCCGAATTTTCGGAGCCCACAATACCATTATATCATCTAGTTAGAATAATATTACATGGTATATGCATGAAAAAGCATTCATTATACTAATATTATATTAAAAATCATGTCTCTTTTATTAGTCATAGTGTATGCCCTATGTCATGTCGTTATACTTGAAAAAAAAATAAGTTGTTAAATTTGAATGACAAACTTATTCGTGCTGAAACATTTTTTAATAAACTCAGCCAGGTAATTTGGAAATCGTCACTGTAGAAAAGGATCTTCAAGTAATAATTATTTCAAAATTTTAACATTTAAGTTTAAGTTGTAGCCTTTTATTAAACTTTAATCGAGTATTTGGTAGTTGTTGTTTTTAGTTGTTTCCCCCTTTTTTATTAGTTGTTGTTTTTATTTCATTATTGAATTATGATCAAGGACTCTGCCTAAACCCTAATCTTTTTTTTCCTTTTATTAATGCTTATGTGCTCTATTTACATTTATTTATAATTGAATCCTTCCCTCTTGAATTCAAATCAGATTTTATCAATCTTGACTTTTGATATTTGCTGTTAAGATTGGTTCATCATATTCCACGTTGCCAATATGTGATAGTCAACTGAATACTCTTTATTTGCAGGTTGGTTTCTTAGGCCTGCATGATAAAATCTTCTCAATTCCACAATTAGTAAGCCATATCTCCATTCTCAAACTGTAACAATATTCCTTTTGTTGAGACGAGAAGCCGTTAATAAATAGCTACCAAATACTAAATTAATACTCTTTATAACAAGTCGTGAAAATGCCGTTTTATAACTTTAGAAAGAAATGGATTATTAATTTATTATTGATGTTAAATAAGTACTTAGGGCAGGAGTATTCAGGTTTATAATAGCATCTTGAATTAGACATCAGTACCTTGCAAGCAGGAAGATGAATTTATCCTTAATTGTTTCTTAGACTTGAGGCCAGAGGATGCCTGACTAAGAATCAATGATGCTTCTCTATTGCCACAGTCTACAGCTTTATCAACAATAACGAAGTGGTCATCACAACTGTAGTAAGCCGTTGAGTTCCGAGCTCTCACCTGTAGAAGGCAATATTCAGAACGACTTCTAAGAGAAGCAAGGAATGACACACGCACAAGCTGATTTCTACCATTGATAACCAATATAAAATCATCAAAATGGATGAAGTTAAGCCATGCATGCATACAACACCAAGATATCAATGCTTAGCCAATTAACTAAAGTAGTATCACAAACATTTTATTAGTAAAATGAAGTACTAAAGATAACTTAGTTGAATATGCATAAGAGCCTTTAAGAAATCGTCACCTTAAACAGCTGAGAAATTTAGGAGTGAAATCACCCGTAAAAAACTCTACTGCAAGAGTATATCTTTAAGAATGAGAATAACGAACTCTCCCGAAAAATAACTTTATCACAAAGTAACCCATAAATTAAGTTGTGGTAAAATTGCTACAAATGCTTTTTGCAGGGCAAAAAAAAAGATCAAAACTCCAATACGGTTGAGATTCAATAGGGTCACATGACGAGAAGGGACAAATCAGCAATATTTGACCTTATAACATCATTCAAGTTTAAGCTTTTCGATATTTGTGGGAGGGAAACAAAATTGGGAACAAGATTTTCATAAGAAATGAGAAATGCTACATCCTAATCAAAAGATAAATACATTTTTGAGATTTAACTTAGCATAACATTATATCTTAATCATTTGAATTAGACTAGATCTATAAATAGAATGATTGCATATGGCCCCAGGGCCACCAAACCTATTTAGAAGATACCTTATGAATATTGTGATAATGTACGAGGCTAAAGCTAGAGTGTTAAAGAGAAACCAAATCAAGGTTGGATTCATTCCACGACAACCTATTTCACATATATTGTTAGTTGTTTTTCTTATCATTGCCAAAACTTGTTATGGACTATAAATAGGAAAATTTCATATCATTTACTTATTTTTATTCTTAGAAGGAGAGAGTCTTAACATACATAAGTTGGATAACTTTTCTTATAGATTATTAAACTAAGAGGAACAGGATTATGGATAAAAAATACAATAGGAGGATAAAATAAAGAAAAGCCCCTCTATAGCTTCTAGTGGATTCAACTAGGGAGTTGTTAACTAGGCAAGGAGGTTGGATTGACTAATCAAACTAGTCCTACGGTCACCTTTGGTGACTAGAGCTAGGAAAGATGAAGATTATGATTAATATGAATAATAAGAGTAGCAGTCGATAAGAAAGTAAATAAATCGAGTAGGTGGAGCCGTGGAGATGGTTGATCATCTTGATCCACCATTATCATGGGCTTATTTTTGGTAATGGACGTGAGACTCAATATGCATGTAATTAATATGCAGTTTTATCTTCGGCAATCCACCTGTATTATGAGTTTTAGTAACAATTAAAGAATTCAAATAAATAAATAAATAAATAAAACATGTTTTCAGATGTCAGCCATTAAGAGCAAAAGTTCTTTTAATGACAAGAATTATAAGCTCCAAATGCAAAAACTCTAATTTTATAAAATGGCATCATTGCAGTTCTCACATGTAGAATGATGTGACAATAATAAATTTGTGTACTAGTTTATAAATAACTATCATAATTAAAGGTGTATGTGAGTCAAGTTAACTCATGAGCCTGCTTGAACTCGGCTTAATAGATTTTTTTTAACTCGACTGATGGGGATATCGACAGGAGATTTCGGCGCGTTTATCAGAGACGACACAGGAGATCGATGGCCATGATAGAGAGCCTTTACTATTGATGTCTATTTTGTATTAGCATTTCATGTATTATGTATTTCTTTTTCAGTTTTTTCCACTTTTGCCCTTATGGGTAGTTGATTGCTTTTGTAGCCCAAGGGGCATGTTAGTCTTTTGTATTAGTTGTCATGTAGAGCCTATATATATGGCTCTTGTATCTTGTATGAGGATTATTGATTATTGTTAATGAGATTTTCTACTTTGATCTCTTTGTGAGTTCCACCACTTTCCTAGATCTCTTTGTGAGTTCTAGAGGAAAGAACCGTTAGATCTCTTTGTGAGTTCTAGTGGTTGACGGAGTAAGGTTAGTGCATCCTAATTATCTTATCTTCCTCCTCCAACCACTTCCCCTCCACCTCAAGAGAAAGCCACTTGAAACTCTTGGCCTGAAACCCGACCCACCCCCTTTGCCGCCGCCCCCTTGGAGTTCTAGTCGCTGGGCACTCTCACAGCTTCGGTCGGCCGCCTTGACACCGACCTCCCCACATCCGTCCAACCCCTCTCTCCACTAGTTTCAAACTTGAACTTTGAATTTTAAATTTCAAATTCTTTCCTAATTTAGAATTCCAATTTAGGAAAGTTTGTATGGTTGAATCCAATTTCAAATTAATTTAAATTGGAGTCAATAAATTATATTTCCACATCATCATCCCTATTTGGAAACCCCCTCCCCTCTTTCCCCAAACCCCTCCTCCCACATTAAGCAGCCGGCCCCCTTCTTAGGGAGTTTGCATTGAAAGCATTCAATGCTCCTTCCCTCATTTGAAATTTAGAAATTGATTTCACTAAAATTCCCTCCGATTTTTCTTAAAACTGAAATTAATTTCAGTTTCTTCCACAAACCTTAGCCCCCTCATTGATGCCACTGGCCTCTAATGGCTCTCGCCATTGAATGAGCAATAACCCTCCCCCTTAATTTGGGAATTCAAAATTGGATTTCAAATAATTTCCCTCCCAGCTCTCTAAAACTGAAATTAGTTTCAGTTTTCTAAAATAAACCCCAACCCCTCTCTCTCTCTCTCTCTCTCTCTCTCTCTCTCTCTCTCTCTCTCTCTCTCTCCCGTCCTCCTCTCCAAACCGCACCCCCCCCTTCTATCTTGGGTTTCTTCGTAACCTCTCATCTACAAGCCAAGGATGCATGGCGAATCCCGAATTTGAAGGTGGACTCGTGTTTGACGTCTACGGAGACATCCACATCTTCGATCCCCATTCTTCGACGTGGAGTTTGACCATGACGACGCCAATGAAGGTTACTTGGATCGAATCCTCCCCACCCTTGTGCACGTTGTCGAAGGTCAATTTCCAGACTACGAGTGGATCATCAACGGTCATCCGCCCGTGCCACCTCCACCTCCGAGTACCTTCCCAACAACGACGTTCCTCGGCTCCTCCCTCCTCGTGGCGACTTCATTTCTAGCCTGGACGATCTTTCTCCGCTCAACCTAGATTCATAAGAAAGATATAAAGGACTCAAGGTGAATAACTCGTTATTAATCTTTGAATTCAAGTTATAAGCTTTTAACATTGCTTTATCCTTTATATTTGATTAAATCATTTTGGTTAATTTCTATGTAATTCTTTGCCTAAGCGAGTGGAACATGAAGATTTCTTGTAACCTACTTTGAATGGATGCATGATTTTATAAAGGTTAAACTAATAGTAAATTATTAATCTTTGAATTCAAGTTATAAGCTTTTAACATTGCTTTATCCTTTATATTTGATTAAATCATTTTGGTTAATTTCTATGTAATTCTTTGCCTAAGCGAGTGGAACATGAAGATTTCTTGTAACCTACTTTGAATGGATGCATGATTTTATAAAGGTTAAACTAATAGTAAATTTTCTTTTATAATCTTGTGTAACTCCAAGCTTGCATCACATCATCGGCTTAATATATGGCACATGAGCCGAGATCGACGAGCTAATGAGCTAAACTTGAGCCAGTCTCTACTCAACTTTTAAGCTACCAAGCAAGCTCATTTTAAAAATATTAATGTATAATATATTAGTATTTAGAAATTTAATTATAAATTTATTTAAAATATTTTAAAAATCATATCTCACTTTTTTATATCAAGTAATTTATTATTATTATTTTAATTTTTTTTAAAATTTTATAATATTAAGTATTTGAATTATATTTATCTTTTACTTTTTCATAATAAGCAAAGTCGACTCATGAGCATCATCAAACTCATAAAATTAAGTTCAAACTTAAATTCAAACTCAAACTCAAAACATAGGTGGCATGAGTTTGATGGACCGGTTCACCCGGTCCATCCTAGACCCGTGCGGGTCTATGGGAGGCAGGCGGACCGGCTGGACAAAAAGGGGCCCACCCACTTAAGTGGGGGTAATTTGGGGATGTGAGGGACTTTTGGATTGTATGAAGGGGGCCATTAGGGTTTAGTTAGAGGCATTATGAAAAGTGTATTCTCTTTCTAGTTTTCTTCTTCTAGTTTCCTTCTTGTTCTTTTCTAGGGTTTTCTTGTGGGAGATCTTGTCCTTCT